GTCGAGAAAACATAGTTTGCATGTGTTGTGTTGACAGTCCGTTCAATCTGTACTTCACACAGCGCGACGTGCGAGAGCTCGCGCTCTTCAGAGACAATCACAGAATATGACAGAGCTCGTGTTTAAAAGCGAAACACACTGGAATAAATAATGCACTGAAAACACAACGCGAGTCTCTGTCTCTCTGCAATCTCTGATGTAATCAGCCTGGTTTCCTTTATATTAGCGCTGTTTTAGACTGATTGTTTGAATGCATTCGCTTACTGGACCATTGGACTGAAAACTTTCCCAGAGTTTAGCGGCTTAAAATTATTTGGGTCAGCTTTGTTCCAACTCGTTCTGGTGAAACAACCCAGTCCAAGCCTGCCCTGGGCTACTGTCCCAACAATGTCCGCATGCTGCAGCCGATCCTCAGCCTCCGTCAATGCTCTGCTGGCTGACCATTTACGGCCTGTCCTGACCACAATGCCTGCCTGTCGTACTCTTTCGTCCTTGCTGTCTCGCAGCATCATGGCCTGGCGTGTCTTTGCTGCCTTATACTCCTCGAGCACTGATGTCACCGGCAGCTGCAGCTTGCTGCCTGTGCTGTACAGGCCAATGGAGCAAAAACTTCTTGGGACACCTAGCCACCTCCTTAAATAGGTGTTCATCTTTCTCTCCAGTCTCTCTACAGTCGAGACAGGTACCTCATAAACAAGCAGAGGCCAGAGCAGTCTAGGAAGTACCCCATGTTGGTACCCCCAGGCCTTATATTTGCCGGGTAGGCCACTCTTCTCTAAGGATGTCATCCAGGTTTCTGCTTGGATAATCATCTCCCTCACACTCTGCTTATCATTGAGGTCTGCCCTATACCACTTCCCCAAGCTCTTCACTGGTCTCTCTTGGACCGTTATATATATATATATATATATATATATATATATATATACACACAAACACACACACTTGATTTTCCTTTCAGTTCAAATTCCAAAAATGTTCAGATCCCAAATCCCAACCTTTTCAACTTGGCCTCAGACTTCTGGATCCTGCTGTACAGTTCTACACATAAATATATGTCTACTACCTGCGTAAGCCACTGACAACAAGCTGTGTCGGTATATTTGCTGGCGGGAATCATCCACTGTAGATAATCTGCACAAATTAAGAGAAGATCTTGTGGAAAATCCAGAGTTTATCTCACAGCGAACGAGGGGATTAAACGCGGCAGCTTTGCAAATCCCAGCAGCTAGCCATTGTTTTCGATTAACCTTCATCAACAGAATAGCTTGAAGGAACACTTAAAAGACACTGATCTGCAGCCGAGGTCAAGAGAGAGGAAATAAGTGAACAGGTCCCTACGGAAAACACCAGAGAACATCCCTCCTCCTCTGAATGAGGAGACTGGGATGAAGACATTAGTTTGCAGGGGTTTGCAGAGTTTCAGTATAAAACGACCCATTCGATTTCTCTCTTTCTCTACAGACATTTTGAGTTCTCTATTTGTACTTGCCTGAAACAACGATCTCTGCATCTATGAAAATCTGTAGGCGTCCTGCACCATTCTGAAGTCATTCCGCTACACTGGGACTGGGTTGTGAGAGCCTGTGGTTTATCCGGTTATCAAAAGAACAGAAAACAGAAAATTAGCCCTAATTATATCACCCACCCGTCTGCAGCACAGACTCATTCCCCCACAAACTGGTAATTTGGCAGCGACACAACATCTCAGACAAAGAATGTGACTACAGGGATTTATATAAATGTTGTTGACATGTCAATTATACACAAACTGGATGATCTGGCTCTAAAATGCTCTTTAAATCAATTTTTAGCACATTTTGTCTCACATTGTATTACTTTTAAGGACGTGTTGTTTTAGAGTAAACATTGTTCTTTTCTGAAGGCTTCAACTACACAGTAGGCTTCACAATTATTACTTATTGGCAAAATGTGGTGAAAAAAAAAATTGATATGTAAGAAACATTATTACTCTGGAAATTTAATTTTAACCATTAGACAAGTGGCTTAGACACTGTTTATTAATTTGGCTCATGATGAACAAACCATTCTGACCATTTTTGTGAACCGGCTCAATTGATTCACTGAAAAGATCAGATTCAAAATAACTTTGTTTCACGAATCAGACTTGAAGCAAGAAGATTATCCGTAAATTAGTTTATTTCACATACAAAGCTATTGTATGACTTCAGAAGACTTGAAAATTATGCACAAGTCATATGGGCCACATGGTGGGGAAGTCGTGGCCTAATGGTTAAAGAGTCGGACTCGTAACCCAAAGGTTGTGGGTTCGAGTCTCGTACCGGCAGGGATTGTAGGTGGGGGGAGTGAATTTACAGCGCTCTCTCCACCTTCAATACCACGACTGAGGTGCCCTTGAGCAAGGCACTGAACCCCCAACTGCTCCCCGGGCACCGCAGCAAAAAATGGCTGCCCACTGCTCTGGGTGTGTGTTCACGGTGTGTGTGTGTTCACTGCTGTGTGTGTGCACTTTGGATGGGATAAATGCAGAGCACTAATTCCGAGTATGGGTCACCATACTTGGCCACATGTCACGTCACTTTTTTCACTTTTTTTATAAACCCTTAATGGTGCTTTTACTTCCTTTCTGAACTACCGTTCTATTCCTGCAGTCCAAGACAATTCTTATAACAAATTTCACTGAAGGTACCTTTTTTTTTTTGAACATGTGTAGGCTGCAGATCAGCACTCTCATTCACTAATAATTGCAAGTATTCTTCCAAAATTGTTATTTCTTTTAAAAATGTACTTTCTTACATGATTGGCTGCACTTTTATGCCCAGATTGAGCTGTACTGCACATCATTTTTGATTCTCTGAAGATTCTGAAGGACTGACTTATGCTTTTCTTTCTCTTTGAAAGAAATTACAACTTTCATTCCACAAGAATGCATTAACACTAAATTAATTAAATTTCTATTGATCAAATAATCCTGAAAAATGTATTCAGGTTTCCACAAAAATATTAAGCAGCACAACTGTTTTCAACATTGATAATAATAACATGTTTCTTGAGCACCAAATTATCATATTAGAATGATTTCTGAAGGATTCTGAAACTGAAGACTGGAGTAATGATGCTGAAAATGCAGCATTGCATCACAGGAATACATTTAATCTGAAATCATATTTAAATAGAAAACGGTTATTTTAAATAGGCAAGGCAAGGCAAGTTTATTTGTATAGCACATTTCATACACAATGGTAATTCAAAGTGCTTTACATAAAATAAAAGAAAACAATAATCACAACAATAAAACAAGGAATTTAAAAACTTTGAAAATGATTAAAAAAATTGATTTAAGAGGTTTAAAATTAATTTAAGAAAACGATTATACATAAAATATAGTGCAATCAGTTCGGACATCGCACAGTGCTCATTCAATAAATGCACAGCTAAACAGATGAGTTTTGAGTCTGCATTTAAATGTGACTAATGTTTTAGC